CCAAAGAGCATTGTGCTCTGTTGTACACGGACAGGGTCGCTATGAACCCGGACTCAATGGTGTAGGTCCAGCTACGTTCTGAAAAATGCAAGTAATATTGATGGCTGAGCAGAACAGTGAGTAAACCCATTAATTAAGACCTTCTTGGCACCCCTGATCATCAAGATGAATCATGTTTTTAAACCCAGCTGCTCTTCCTTCCTTCAGAGTCTTGAGTTCTGAGACTGTGTTGTCCTCTAGGGCAAACACCAATATCTGCCTTTATTCAAGTTGCAGCCTTGGGCTTCAGTAAATTATAATGTTTCCAACTGTGAGTAGACATAAACCCCCCGCCCCCCCCCCGCCCCCTTGCATTAATTTACTAATCATGGCTTTGATAACTGTTCTAATACTTCATGTCATTCCTAGAACGTGTGCATAAACATAGAATGGGCCAATTTCTATTCCAACGATGACCACTATCCTTTCATAATTAATATCACCGTGGAGTGTTGGCCGGAGTTCTCATAACAATCATTCAAGTAGCACGGGAATCATGCTGTGAGTATCTAACTCACAGTCACAGGGACCCAAGGACCACTGGAAGATGGACTGAGTACCGACACCCTCCCACTCAGTCATGTTGCAAGAGACAATTGTTGCAAACTTGGTGATTTGGTTGGTACATGGATTTTGTTTCCCTGTATGGAATGTTCACAGTGTTACAATGAGCCAGTCAGGTTAGTCATGGCATCTACCATACCAATGCCCCTTCTACCTACAGCTGACCAATCCCTGTGCATTGGGACAGGCTGACAAGATCAACCCCATCAAGTGCTGGCCTGTTTTTCAGGAGTTGTCCCAGCGCATCAGACTGTGTCCCAAGGTCTACAGCAATGGTCTAAAGCTAATAAAGTAGCGGAGCAGCATCTATCAAGGACACAGCAGATCTCAAATAGGTCCCCTCCTTCTTCTCTAGTACCGAGCGTTGTTGAGCCACAGTAGTTGAGTTCGGAATAGACAGAAGATTTTGGAACCGGCAAGAGGGAGGTCAAGCCAAAGACCAGAGCAGGATCAAGCCAGGAACAGAGAAACAGCACCGAGCACAGAATCAACTGCTGAGAGAAATCCTAGCTCTCGCCATGTCAGGAAAGCTAGGAGACCCTGGTCTGCATCTTTGTCTCCTGGCAGGGTTCAGCTAACCCAAGAGAAATTACGAAGCTTCCCAATATGGACATCAGAATGCCCTTGGCAGCCTATTTTAATCTTTTGTCCTTCCCATGGGCAAAGCCAAGGCTCTCTTCCTCCAGTCCTGCCCAAATGTCTCCTGTATTCCCTGGAGTCTGTTGTGCCCCCTCAGGACTCCGTAGACCCAGAGAGCTTCTCTTCGACAACCTCCCCTTTGAAAAGGTTCCATCAATCTGAAAATTGCCATTAAGGTGCCTCTTCCAAAACATAACCCATGTGATCCATTCTAACCCATGGCAACCCAACTGTTCCATGGGGTTTTCGTGGGCATCACTCTACACAAGCCTTTGTTCTTTGGTGCTTTAGGCAAGTTGGAACTGCCAACTTTTAGGGCAATAGAATGCAAATGGTCTGGGTCACCCAGAGGCCTTCGGGTGCCTCTTAACCTTCCCTAAACTAAGGGACCCCATCCAGAGACGGACAGCACACGAACTCCAGCATAAGCAGCAAACCCATCTAAGGGTCCCTCACCAAGGTAGTGTTCAACCCAGAGAGCTTTAGATTCAACGTGTGTCTTTTTGGTACAAGAAGCATGCCATCACGATCACTTTTGTCACAAGGTCGGTCATCTGTCCCACTTCTCCATAACCTTTTAAGATTTTTAAACTTAACAGTTCCTCACAATATAAAATAAAACCTCATTTGTTTATAATAAGTTGGAAAAGCCCCAGCCCACTGAGTTGATTTTGACTCATAGCATCCCCGTGTGACAGCAGAAATGCCCCCATAGGATTGGCTTAGCTATAACTGCCAGGCCAACCGCCGGAATCTATCAGTGATTCCATGGGAGAAAGATAAAGCTGTCCACGTGGGTAAAGATTTGTAACCTCGGACAGCCTCAGGAGCAGTTTTACTAGGTCCTGCAGATAAATATGAGTAAGAATCAACTCGATGGCTATGGGGTGGGTTTGAACCACCAACCTTGACATTAGCAACTTAATTCTTTTTTTTTTTT